GTTTGTCGTTCGGAATCCTACTTCATCTTGTTTTTTTTTAATTTTTTAAGTTTATTACTTAAACTTATGTTAAATTGTCAATTGTGTATCATTAATTGTGTTATTATTGAAATGGAATTAATTGTTTATTTTCAAAACAAGCACAAATGTGAGGCCACATTTGTTTTTGATTGTAGCTTGTTGATGAAAGTCACTTCTTTTCATATGCTAATGTAGTTGCAAATGCCAATGCAAATAATCCACAGTCATATCCATTTGTTTGTTTCTGTGGCTGCTTGATAGTAAATGTCTTTATTGAAAACAAACGAGAAAGCATTTCATATGTGCGCTGATCGATAGCTTTGTATAAGGAGTCATAAACGGTGATTTTACTTTCTTGACATCCAACATTTGATGCTGTAATCCAATGATTATCTTTGCAGTGAATCACCTGTATTATTAGACTATCACTCATTTCAAATTTGTAACTAGGTTTGGTTATTTCCAATCTTGACTTCAAGCCATTTATCTCAGGAAATCTTCTCCGTAATAGGTTTTGGCCAAAATATATATGTTTATCATTCAAGTAGCCACCACTTAAAATAGTAGAACGGTCGTCAAGTACCAAACGAATTGCATCATATTCAATCCATACAGTATTTTCATTACCACTGTCATCTACCTCGGTTTGGACCGTGTCTGCATCAATATAATCCTCATTACTCTTACAATCATGTGACTCATTTACACCACCTTTGCCTGGTTTGCCAGATGGCAATATTTTTTTACTTTATTAACTTCAATTTCACTGTCCGTGATAAAGGTTGTAATGCAGGGAATCTCCAATCCTCCTTGTACTAAGTCCCTGGAATATCTCCTGCTGCCTGTCACTGTACAAATGATACAACCTCCTCGCCGGATAAAGGTAGAACAAATGGCACTGATTTTTCTTGGAATGTGCCCAACTACATGACCATTCTTCTTGACAGCCACAGCATACAGGTCTTCAATATTTCCTCTTTCTCTTTCACAATCTAGTTCCTCATGTAGGACAGGTGTCCAAATGTCCTGGTAAACATGAAAACCTCGGACACAACTATCAATTCTCCACGACGCCATTTAGACAATTTTTATTAATAACCAACTATGAATAATTAATTAAATTAATACAGCATAATTATGCAGTTATCACGAAAATTTAACCCACGAAAATCTCAACCACCCCAAATCACAAAAATTGGATCCCACGAAAATATCCCGCTATACGGTAGTTGTTTTTCACTAGTTGTTCAACTTGGTAGTTGATTGATACTGATTTTCATATTTTTCTGTGCTAAAGATATCTCTGCTCCTCCCTCAACAGGAATTTTGTTTTATTAAGAAATCAAATATTTTTGTGTTTCTAGATCCTGTACATGTACTGTTACTTTTAATTCTTTGACATAGACGGACTGGCATGTGACATAGTGGTGTTTGAGAGCACTGTTGATCATAAATGTGACTACTGCTTTTTTGCCATATTTAAGAGAAAAGAGTATGCATACTTCAGGCTTCTTCAATTCCATTTGATTCACCATTTAAAGCTCCTTTAGAGGTCTTGTATTCAAGAACTATTAGTACCAGTATAATTATTCAGGACTCCAATCAATCTTAATTTTTGCCTATTTTTTCTGAGGCAAGATTCAATTGTTAACCTTCAATGCATACTGCTTTTATAGGAATATGATATACATGATATTTATTTTATGAACGACTGCATTGAAGAAGCTTGACAGCCTTTCCAACAGCCAATAAATATTCCCAAAACTTAAATATCTGTTATATACTTATCATATCTGTTATACATTTCAAGAATATTTTTTGAAAGATAACAAAGAGCTGGCAAAGGTACGTTTATGACTAACAGTTGTACTTGGACAACCTGCAGAGATACAATGTACTTGGACAACCAGAAGGGGTAATTGGACAACTAGACGAGAGTGACTGAGATTCAAAAAAACTTTAACATTTCCACCACTAACAACTTACTTGAAAAAAATTTAATTAGAAAATTATTTGAAAAGTGCCTGAACAGCTCACCTGCTTAGTCAGTCTGTTGTGAAATTGTTTTTTGCTTTGAGCAGAGTATGTCCATGTGCATGCAAGTATATTACAGGTACAGGCTGATGAGCAACTTTATTATTTTGTGTAATGAGTGACATTAATACAATCATTAACACTTGGGCAGACCCTTTTGACCAGTAAAACTTTAAAAAAATAAATGAAAATGAAGCAATGGCTGCCACATTGAAATGTGTCCTCCACCTTTCATCTGGAATGTAGCCGTTTCTACCAGTGTCTTTATTACACATTCTTGCTTTTTCGACCTCATCTGTACCATCCAATTGTATACTAAAGGCCTTACGTTTGAAACACTAGGTGACATTTTAATATTACCTCCTATTTACCAACATTCACTATCTTCTACTAAAAAAGGCATTAATGACTCATTTATTTCTTTTTTGACAAGTGGTATGTTCCTTTTTGTGTGATAAAGTCATTCAATGCTGCAATTTATGCATGGCAGGGGAATGCTATAGTTTGCTTTGATGACTGGTACATGTTGGACATCAAAGCTGCTACATTACAGGCCACATTAAAGGTACCAGGAGAATCGCTTAGTGAATGAGAGCTCATTTAAGCCATTTATAAGGCTGTACAATGTAAGACAAAAGAGAATTATGTGTTTGAAAATCATAAAAACGGCTGCCATTCTACATA